TATTTCTTGATATTACTAAGACTTACATAAAACTCACAAATTTCATGTTATAAATTTTTATTGACATTTTTATATGAACTACAAAAGCTCTAAAATTACACCTTATCCTTTCCTTTCCATTGATAATAAACTTTTGCAATACTGTATTCTTGTAGAAAGTACATTTATTTATATTTATTCTAGACTTCCTGAAATCTACTTTAGTTGTTAGTCCCGTCTCTCTCTCTCTCTTTCTCTCTCTCCATCTCCTACTGCTTCTTTTCATACTAAGTTTATTTGCTACTGCTCGGAAAGAATAAGAAAAGAAGAAAAAAAAAGGAACTAACATCTCGCTTAATTATACCATAGAAAAACTGCCTAAAATTTTCATACACAATCATATTTAAAACAATATCACTTTACGTAACTGCGATTAAAATTTATCTGAAAGTACAAAAGAATACTGTATACAATAATTTAATCAATTGAAGTTTGAAATGCGCTGAATTAAATGATATATTCTGATAGGTTATTTGATATAAACTGACGTGAATGAATTTAACAATCACACAAAGATAGAATAAAAGATACGTAAAAGAGAATAGAAGGATATTTTAGAAATAATCGAGAAATACCACACCATTGAAAATTTCAAAAATTTTTAAAATCTTTTCAATTCAAAATTAAAATCAAAGATCAATCCTCCATTACATCATTTTGCTCAAGCAATAACATGCTTTCCAGCATTTTTTCCTCTCTTTACCCACAAACAACTTATATTTTTTTAAAGCATTCTAGATTTATTTAATTTTTTTAAGAAATAATTAGAAAGTAGAAAAATTTTTCATACTTCCAAAATAATACTGAGATAAAGAGATGATGAGACTAAAGATAAATTTTTACACATGAAATATTAAGAACCGACGCTAATCAATCCAATATTTTAAAAATTTTTTACAAATAATTGCTAATAGTAATAGTATACGATGATAATATTGCAATCTGAGAAACAGCAACGCTAGGAATGGAAAGGTAAAAATCCCATACCTTCTCTAAAGCACCAAATTTTAATTTAAATCTATCAGATGTACGGGACTGAAAATCAAAATAGCGCAACGTGACGAGAACCGTGTGGTTTTGATTCAAGTCGCGATTCGATTGAATTTCTTTGATTTTACGCTCACGTGACATTTGACGTTTGACATTTGACCTTTGCTAGTTGCGCTAACTATGATACTTTTGTTGATGCTAAGACTCCTTTTTTTTTTACCACAAATCAAAATTTTGCAAATAATAAGCTGGCGAGAGATGTATGGAATTATTGTTAACCTAAAGAATACTTATTTGTCACTTCGGCTTTCCTTCTCGTTATTTTGGTTGGTAGGTTGACCACTGTTTCTATTTTTAAATGAGCTTTTTTAAAGTTTTTTTTTTTTCACTTCACATCACTCTTATGTGTTACATCGTATTAATCTATAGCCTACTTATTTCTTATTTTAATTTAGCATTGTTATTTTGTTCTGTTTGACATTGTTATTGTGTTCTGACAAAATTCATTTTTAATGCTGTACTTAATTTCCTGCTTTGATTAATTGATAGTTACTTTTTAAATATGTGTTGTTTATAGCAGGATGCTTACGAAGACATATTTTTTCTTGCCGGAAATATTGTAATGTAGGTTTTAAATGTAATTTATAGATAAACTTTGGAGTTAGACGTAAAGAGATGCAGTGTGATGATGTTACATGGAATATTCTCAACAAAGGAATGTGCTCCTTTAAAACAAGGTAAATATCATTGCTCGAATTATTTCTCTTTTTTTGTATTATTTGGAACTTATGCTTGCGGTATTTTTTGGCAGGAATTAAAATTTTATCCTTCAGAAAAAAGTCGCGATTTTTTTTCTGCTTTGGCAAAAGGACTCAAAAATTACTTTCTTTAGGCGCTATTTCAATTCTTTCCTCTTTCAGTTTCTGATTTTTTCCATTTTGATGTGTTCACTGAAATTTAAAATGTTTTTATAACATTTTCCAGGATAAAAACGCAGAAGTTTTGTCGCAATGAGTACAATTTAACGGGTCTGTGTAATCGAGCATCATGTCCGTTAGCTAACAGTCAGTATGCTACGGTTCGGGAGGAGAAAGGTACTTTTTGTTTTATAAAAATTTATGTGTTGAATAAGGATTGATTGAGATACGATACATTTCAAAGTTGAAAATATCTGAGTGGAAAAATCTGTTGGCTTCAGCAGCTCGTTATTTGAACAGAATATATGAATATTGAAAGTAGTCAGTATGGAGAATAGATAGGTTTTTTTTCTTTTTTTTTGGTTTTAAGTTGTATAAAAAGAAAGGAAGGGAGTAACGGAAGACCACATTCAGTTTAAAAATGTAGTAACTATAATGGGAAGGATGGAAGAGTAGATATTTTTTATTATTCCAGTTAGGATATGTAACTATTTCAGGTATATGTTATCTATATATGAAGGTAATTGAAAGAAGTCACTATCCACGAAGACTCTGGGAACGGATCAAATTATCTCGGAATATGACTCAAGCTGTTAGACAGATTGGTGATGCATTACTCCATTGGTCTCAATATGTTAGACATAAATGCAAGGCACGTCTAATTCGCATACATCAATATTTGATCAGGATGAGGAAGATGAAGCTTCGAGATAGGTTTCTATTTTTTAATCTTTGTTTTCATATTAGAAAGATTCCTACATATTTTCTTACGTAGCAAACTTGACATATATTATTTACCATTCATTTACATTTTTTCAGATTAAACTAACAAGCAAATTTATTAAAAAAAAAGACTTTGATACATGTAGTTAGTCTAAAACTGTGTATAGTTAGTCTTACATATGCATTACACAGCATGCATCAGTATGCATTGCTATCAAAATAGTAAAGTACTTTAAATACTTTAAGCCAGTCTTAAAATTAATTTTTTTGTTGATCTGAACCTCAAAATACTCCAAATATTTGTTAACTTTTTAAAACTTTTTCACTGAAATTTTAATTAAATTTTTGTCTTGTAGACAACAAAAAATTATCCCAATACAGCGAAAGATTGAAAGACGCGAAGTAAGACGAGAAGAAAAGGCACTGATTGCTGCTAAATTGGACACAGCTATAGAAAAGGAATTACTGAACCGTCTGCGTGAAGGGACTTATGGCGAAATCTATAATTTCAGGTTATCAAACATCGTCTTTGTGTATACTTATTTTTTGTGTTCTTTATTTTTTGCTTGATAAGTATATGTGGTGGACTAATTGCTCTAATTTATATTGCTCAGCATTTGAAAGTATTTATTAATTTTACTCACAAAGTATAGCAGATTTTAGCAAGTAATTTTAGGCAAGATGCATTCAATCGTGTACTTGATGAAGAGGAGGAAATAGATGCAGAATTCGATCGCGAAGTTGAAATTGAAGAGGTCAATCAGGTTAGGATTTTCTACATTTCTGTCATTTTTCTCATATTACTTTACAATAATACCTCTGATTTGTTTTCCTTTTTCTACTAGTGATATTCAGGGTACTGGAGTTCGCGAATATATTGCTGATTTCGAAGAATCATCTGACGAAGATGGTGATGAAGATATAGAAGATGCAGGAGGAAATAACCTTTGGAATGAGGATGAAACTAGTGGTGAAGATGACGAGATGAATGAAAGTGAGGAGGATGAGGAAAGCCCTGTGGAGGACGAAGATGAATCGAGCGGGGAAAATGAAAAACAACCGGTGAATACAGTATGTTTCGTACTACAAATTACTTTACAATTACTTTACAGCAATGGCTTTGTTTATCCTTACAAAGGATATTCATTGTTAATTGATTCATACAATTACATTACCTTCAAATACAATATATGGAGAGACATTCGTTACGTACGGACAGTGCTACTTCCTTACTTTAAGATTGGTGGGAGGTATGATACGTACTTTCATTGCGAAATTTTCCAGCAGAAAAAGAAACGAGTGAGGTGGAAGGAGTTAAAGGACAAGAAGGCAAAACGTGAGCCTGTTAAGAGGCGTCTACGCCAGGTACTCGAAATCGAATACGAAAACGAAGGACCAGTTAGGAGTAAACAAAAGCTATAAAATTTCGTTGTTACAGCGTAACGATGTGTTCCGTGAAATAAATTGTTTTATTATGATCATTTCCCTCTTAATTTTGTTGTCTGAAATTGGATTGCGTAATCATTGCCTTTCGTCTTTTTACGAGCAGCAACGAAACCAGATGCCATTACAATATATTAACTACTTCATTACGAAGTGTTAGATGATTGGAATGCTTTTGAATAATCATCGGGAAGTAATCTTCAAAAAACCAACAGTCTAGATGTTGTTAAGATTTGTGGCAATTAGGAATTTCAAATATTCATTTTATAGCGACGCTGAACCATTATTCATTAGAATCAGTCATCTGAGAATTTAAAACTATGACAAGTGCGAAATTATAGTTTTTCATTTAAACAAATCGGCTAGGAGAAAAGAATCGTTTATTTTCTGTATAAGGAGAAGAGTGAAGAAAAATAATTGCATATGACACAAAAATATTAAGCCCGCATTTTTCTTTTTCAAATATACTTGTAGTATAAGCATAGTAGCCAAATTATTTAGATTCAGAACATACGCGATCTCTGGTTATGAATTTAAGTCCGCCCTCTTCATCTACTTGATAATTTTAAGTAATTCCTTAGCATAGAGATTTTTAAGAGTGTTTCAAGCACAGAGTTCCACTCAGTATTAAAAAATGTTCCAATATGAAACAAGAATGTGGATTTTATGCCTAGAATTGATGAGAGATTTCGAATTTTACTTAAATCTAGTTGAAGAAAAGAATCCCATATAAGAAATAAGCACAACTGGAACAAAAAATAAGGCACTGTTCCCTTAATTATTAAACTATAACATTAGAGAGACGTGGAAAAACATTTGCCGATACTAATATGTGATGATGAAGTTGCGCAATAATTTCATAATTATTACAAATGACGATTTAAGTGGTCAATATTCGTTCTTTTTAAGTAATTGATCCAAAAGCTGTAGCGGTCGATGAAGTTGTAGCTCAACCCAACATGGTGTTTCCTTAATTGAAGTACGATTGTAACCAACGCCCCAACCTTTCACAAATGATATTGCTATTATGCAACATACCTAAACGAAACGACAAAAATTACTCTTTCTGAGAAAAAGACATCACATTTGTCAATGATAACCTCCAAAAAAAAGAAATTGTTTTTCATGTTTTTCACCGTTTTTACAATTTTTCTATCCATTACTATCGGAATACCGGAAACGTATACCCATCTGAACATAGTAAGTCTCTCAGAAATCAATTACTTCATTAGAGAAGTGGTATTTACTAAAGATAATACTTTATATTTTGTATAAAATAATACATTATACAAAATATAAAATGCTTACTCGTCTCAAATCATCAACGCCTGTTCCAACATGTTCAATTAGTGACGATGCTATATTAGCTGGAGGAAGATAGCCAGCAACTGCTGCAGCTTGTGCTACAACAGCCAATCGAGCAGATTTACTCTGATGCTCCATTTCCGCAAAAGCCCAACGTAAATCAAAGATCTGTATTATTATCAAAGATTCAAAAAAAAAGAAAAAGCAATACTTTATACAATATTAGTCTGAATACAAAATTAGTCGACTGTCTTTTATAATTTATCATCATTAATCACTTATGATTATTATATAATACTGAAAGGATTATTATTGTAATACTTATCATAGTATTTATTATTCAATATTATTACATCTATTTGTAATGAATCACAACAACTTACTTTTTTGCTCGGTGAACCGGAACAAAATTTGTGGACAGTGGTACCATATTCAATATCGTTTTCAAAATCCAAGTAATAACTTCGAACGAAAACAGATTTATGTGACAAGCATTCCAGATATACGCTACCATCACGCTGTGTTGAAATACGTACTCCCTTTCCAATGTGTAGCCTAAACAAATATTTTTTGTCAATTATTATTATAATTAATTACTTAAGATTATTATGTATCAATACTCAAAGGATGATTATTATTGCAATACTTGCCATAACATTTATCATTCCACATTATTATATTCATTTATACTGAATTACAACAGATCGTTTTTTTTCGCTCGGCGAATCGGAACAAAATTGAAAACAGTGATACATAAGTTTTGTTGAAAAGCAAAGTGCTTTTCAAAAGTTTACAAATCATGATTCAGTAGTGTGTAAAAATTCGTTACTGCTTATTTTTACACTGTTTTTTTTTTAGAGAAAAAAAAATCTTTTCCTTGCTTTTTCGGATGCTTCACTTCTGTGCACGTTTGATAAGGCTCCTAAACAAAACCGACCATGTTTAGCTCCTGCTGGATTGACACCACCATCAATTACTACCTATGAAAGGATTTATTTGAAATTGTTGCAAAAGAAATTTAATAAATTCACATATCTATTTAATACTTCTTAAAACTATTGCAGAAATTTCACATAAGTTACAAAACGCTTAACAAAATGTAACATAAAGTTCAAATATAAAGTGGTTAATACTAAAGCTAAAAAGCATACAATTTTACTTCTCGCTAAAAACTAACAATTTTGATTACTCTGCCCAATTTTGATTTGAGATTTTTCCTAAATTCTGAAGTTTTCAAGCACAAAATACCTCTGTTCGATCTTTCCGAACTCGAAATGTTTCACCAATTTGCGTGTCTAATTCATAATATGATATGGAACACCAATGATCAGGTACTACAATATAAAAGGGTGCAAGAAATAAACAAAATTTTAATTTTTCAAATATATTCTTTCGATAATACTAATTTTAAATGAAAATTCGAAAGTCTATGAAATTTCAGTATGTTGATTTATGGAAAGTAGTAGGATAAGCAAATGAATGAAAGTGGTACTTGGTGTGGTAGGTAAGCGTACTGAATCCAAATTATCTGAAATGACAAAACATTAGCTAAAGTTCACAGTTTTCAGAAGTTGAAATTAAATGAACAATAGATAGAATTAAGAAAGTAAAGATACGAAATCCTATACTTACATCTACAACGGCCGGTTGGGTAATTACATGAATCGTTGATTTGTTGATAGTTAGCTGGAAAATGAATGAGAAATTATAAAATCTTTAAGTCGCTTCATCATTTTTTTTTTTTTTTTTTTTTAAAGGAAAATCAACGTGATCATGATCACTTTTTGTTCCTTAATTTGTACTTTTCTGTGAACGATGTCATAAAAATTTTGAAAATTAGTTAGCAATTATTTGTGAGGGCTATTGTTTAGTAATTTTAAATTGCAAATATACACTCAAATTCCTGGAACATTCTTTTGAAAGCATTTTGTTAAATGATAAAAAAACTGGATGAGTAATGCACAAAATTCGAAATCATTTCAATCTTTTTTTTTTTTTTGCACATATCAATCAATTCTCATACTCTGCTATATATATATGTAAATTGTGTTAAATCAAAATTTGCATTGTAAATGTTCGAAAATGCCATTACCATGAGAATGGTGTTGATAGAAATGTGCAGCGGATGAATTTGTTGCTGATAAAACACAATTCTGATTCAGCCAAGCATGCTGTTCGTCAGCATTGGCGCCATCACTAGTGCCACCTTGCAACATGCTTAATGATCCGGGTGATGTAACATCACAATATGAACTCTGAAATTCAACTATTACTTTCAAAAGTTTTTGATATTCCTGTCAATTAATTGAAGTGATTACCATTCTATTATTATACTATCTAGTAGTATAACTTCGTGATAAATTCAATGAATTAAATGTAAAACAAGTAAATTAAGTAACAACATTCAGTAATATTATTTAACATAAATTGATCAAAACAATGAATAAAGTTGAAAAGTATAAAATGTCTTCTCTTTTCTTCATAAAATAACCTACTTCAATGGGTAACGGTTGTGCAGCAATTTGTGCTTGGGTCATTTGTCCTGGTACAACATTACTGGAGAGCGGGTTTACCACTGCGACTTGTGATGATGATGACGGTGTAGTTAAAGCATCCAAACGAAGAGTTGACATATCTATAACATGAAACAGTAGATTTTGATGTAATTAACCAAATCATAATACTAAAAAACATAAATGCAATAGAAAGAATGTACCAATGTTTCCAATGCTTGACGACACAACCCGTTCATAATGATATGGGTTAATGCATATTACGTCCTGAAACTGGTAAAAACTAACAATTTCCGGAAATCAGAGAATGAATCAAAAAATTTATTGCACTAGGTATTATTAAAGTTAGCACTGAGCTAAAATGTGCAGCATTTTTAAAAACTAATAAAACAAAACCATTGAACAAGTTAAAAATGATTTCAGAAAGTAAAATTATTTCGATTTCAGTTTACTCCTTCCCATAGTCATAACTCCTTTTTGAGTATTCGACAAAAAAATTTGCAACAAAGTGTATGGAAAATTTTAAATGATACCTCCAGAATTATCTTAATAAAATGACAGTCAATCAGTCAATCTGCTTTATTTCAAAGGAATAAAAGTGTAAAATTAATTAAAAAGACCTGGTTATCAGGTGCTACTACACAAATCGGTAATTTTTGCAGCTCATTCTTGTTAACATTTGGCCAACGCCAAATTCGAGCATAAACTACATGTGGCACACCTTTTCGGCCTGCAACTTGCAGTCGTCCATCCAAAGATCTCTGTAATTCATTCGTAAATAAGGACAGAAAAAACGCCTTTCTTTTACGAAAAAAGAAACTTAAATAAAGTATAATTTATTTAATATTTCCTAATAAAAGCTAAATTTCTATTTTTTTTACGAAAATTACATTTAATTGCAAATATTTACACAAAGAACTGCAATCAAAATCAAGGCGATAATAGAAACTACCACAGACAACTTATGACAATTACGATAAGTTTTATTACCTAGCTGCTGATTAAACTATTTTTGACATAAGATTAATAATGATGGAAAAGAATGAACCTGGATGGTAACACAGGATGTTGGCTGTTTCCCAGCTGACGTTACAGCAGTAATTAAATTTTCCAATTCATTTCGCTTATCTTTTAATTTCTTTACCAAACTTTCGATTGCTTTTCGGACAAATTCAGCATCTTCACCACCCTAAAAATTTATCACAAATAGTTCGATTCTTTTCATAATGTTATAAACATTTTTTACAGTGTTCGATTCCTCGTTGCTCATACTTTCAAATAATACTTTAATAAATAAGTATCTAAAATTGCCTAAATCCCTTACAAGTATATTGAAATTTTTAAAAGAAGCGATCTTTAAAAAAAATAAAAATTCCGTAAAATTAGAGTTTGGGATGAAAGATAGAAATATTAGTAGTTCTAGGAAATAGTATTTGAAATTGAAAGTACAACATATGTGAAAAGAAAAGACTTGATAATATTTATACTTACGATAAATTATTTATAGATAAATGATAAACCTGCTGATAACATTGTAGGACGTGGGCAATTTGGGCACATGGATCAGTAGCAGATGTAGTAGCATGATGTGATGAAGATGGTATCGAATTTCCCGAATAATCATTATGCTGCTGCGATACATCTCGCACCAATGTTTTATCTATCATCTGTAATGCTATTTTTCTTATCTATGATAAAGTCCGTATTATCAGTGTTAGTATGGAAATAATATTGAAAGCATAAAACATGTCGGCAAATTTTCTCGTTAGATTTCGATATGAAGGTCAAATTTGATGATGCCTCATAGACGTTAAAAATTTTTCCTTTAAAAAAAATTTAGGTAAAAGAAGTGAGGAGATAAAATCTGACAACACGTTTTTTTGAAAGTCAAAAAAAAAAGAAATAAAGATGGAAAATTTCCACAGCACAGAATATCTTACTCACCGGTGAATGCATATTTTGCATAGTTTGAACCGGTTGATACTCATAAAAATTGGGTGAAAATGGCACAACACCAGGTATTATTTGTCTCATTCCGGCCGCAGCCGCTACACTGTCTGAATAATGCTGCATCGTCGAAATGCCATGTTGCTGAATTTTTGAAAGGAATTAATATGCATATCGCGTAAAAAAATTCAAAAAATATCATACTTTCTGAATTAAATTCCTGTAATTAAAGTTTCAAATACAAATTTTTTGCTATCATATACAATTTTGACGAAGCACTATTCTCTTTCTTCTTAATTCGAAAAAAAAAAGAATATCTAGACGCCAAATTTTTCCAAATGAAAAATTAAATTTCCGAATTTACCGGATGTACTTGTTGCCGCATAAATATTTGTTGTTGTTGTTGTTGCTGCTGCTGCTGCTGTTGTATGATAGCTGGAACATTTGCAATATTTCCTAAAATTTATCTTCATATTTATCTCCTTATCTAACTAATAATTTAGTGCTAATCGAAAGATTTTTTAATAAAGCTTTGTATAGAAGAACATGAATGCTCGGTATTAAGTAATAAGAAGAGAGAATAACAGGGAGAAATAGTACCTGCTGAGGTACAAGATGTACTTTTTTATTTTAGAACTTATTAAAAGTAGTCCTGCATAATTCGAAATGGAAAAAGAATTATAAAAATTAGAAGAGTGATTATTGATAATTATTAAAGCTAATTTTAATTTTATACCTTCCAATATGCTAAAAGTGGAATAAAATGACAAGATCAATTTTAACATTAAGCGTTTTTGCTTATATTAAAGTGATAAAGTTGACATTTCTTATTGAAAATGATAGTAAAAAAGAAAGACCTGGCATTTGTGTGCGTAATATTTGTTGCAATGGTACTTGCTGTTGTTGATGATGAATTAATCCACCATCGGTATTATCCAAAAAACCATTAAAAAATTGTACCGGAACACAACCCGTGTTGGTAGTTGTCGTAGCACTAGCCATAGGCACGGTACTTGGTTGTTGATGTATTAAACCACCCGCATTCATCATTATCTTTCGAGTTATCCTTGAAAATGTTGTTGAAAAACTACTAGTTACTGATGGGAGAATATTATTTACTTCCGCAATCTATTTCAAAAATCATTTAAAAGATATATGGGAAAAAATTTATCATTTAAGGACGATTGAATGTCGGAAAGTATAAAGTTATCATTGCTTGTAATCTGATCTAAACTATGAAAGAGAAATGGGCAACCACATAAAAATTACATCAACAAAGCTAGTCATTGCATTTTTTTTTTTTAAGAAAAAAGACAAATGAAAAATAATTTCAGCATTAAGATAGATCTCTAAAAAGTGATATATAGATTAAGCTAAAAAAATATAAATTTAGTAAATATAATCCATATTTGTACCACTTAGTTTAATTTAATTCAAAAATACTAACAGTTATCAAATTTGACATTTTATTTCAACTTCCTCTTTTCCAATATTTTTTATAATTTTAAAGCATATAAAAAATAAAAGAAACTTCAATGAAGAAAAGAAAAAAAAAATAATAAGCTCATTTGGAATCAGATTGAGATCTAAATTTAATCTCAATCAAGTAAAACAAAGAATAGATGTTTACTGCTAAAGTAATAAGTACAATACTTCCCACAAACAATAAATTCATTTACTCTGTTCAACTATTTGTTGTCATACCGACATATTTGTAGATCGATGTACATACAAGAAATATAATATCATTCATACTGTCAACTGACCTCTTATAGATATAAATAATTTCAGGTAGTACTATTTCGATTTTTGGAACAATGTGAGAACAAAAAAAGAAAGAAATAGATGAAATTGTTGTAATTTTGAAAGAAAATGAAAAAGAGATGTAACGAAGACAGAAAGCTGAAAATAGAGCAGGAAAGAAATGGATGGTAATAATTCAACTAATTAAATCGTCTAATTAATTGACATATCTAGTTGTAAAATTAGATGAATAACTTAGCTATCGATTTATAATAATAAATAAATGAAAAAAGACAAAGTATAGTAAAAATGAAGTAAGCATTACTTATGACGATGATAATAATGATAATAGTGAATGAATGTTAAATGATCGATGATGATAATACAGATGATTGATGATGACAGTAAATGATAGCAATGGTTGTAGTCAGTGATGGTTATGATGATGATGATAATGATGATGATGCTAGTTAATAGTGGTAATGATAGGTGATAATAATAATAATAATAATAATGATGATGATGATGATGATAATGGAGAAGAAAATAAGTGGAAAAGGAGGCGGAAAAAGGATGAAGATGATGCAATGATGGTCGTTTGGGTAGGATGAGATGATGATTGATTTGTAAAATTTCCTTGTTTTACAATAGAGGAAAAGAAATGAGATGAGAAGAGATAAAAGAGAAGAGAGTGAGAGGTAGAGATGTAAAGTAAAAAGGATAAGGTAACAAGCATATTAATGGTAATGTATGAACATTCATTATTGTACACGAAGGAAGTAGGAGAAGGAATGATTGTGCATCCTGCATCCTGCATCCTGCATCTTGCATCCTGCATCTTGCATCTTGCATCTTGCACCTTGCATTTTGCATTTGCACTTATGTAATAATAATAATAATTTGCAAAACGGTATTAATTCAAACGAATGTTAATTTAAAATATTAATTTATTATATTATATCCATGTTTGTATTAAAATTTCAATAATTACTTTAAAATTAATCATTTTGTTTGTAAAATTTATATGATAATTATATTAAATAAATTATTTCATACATAGTAGAACACAAAGAAATGCAATAAATTATGGTAATTAATTTTAATTTAAATTAATTGTTTAATGAGTGTCACTATATAGTTATACAGCAAATGACTATAACAAAATAATTTGTTTTTTTTTTTAAATTCAATTAATTTAACATTATATATTACTATAAAAATAATAATGATTATTTGCATCAGTAAAATTAATTTAATTTAATTATTATACAAATAATTATTATTATTATTAACATGTCTAATAATTGACTGTATTACCTAATTAAATAAACAAAAAAATGTAAAATAAATTGAAGTAAAGAAACGGATTTGATTTAGTTATTATTACACCGAAAACATATTTGAAAATTGAAGAAGACAGAAGATAATATTAATTTTTTCTCTTTTCACCTCCCGGACATACACCACCACATACACATACACATACACACACATACACATGCATACACAGACAGACTTATTCACTGATCGATTCTTTTAAGTGATGCTACTACTACTACTACTGTTATTTCATTTTCATTCATTTAATTTGTTTAAATCATTTTGCTTTGCTTTTCTTTCTTTTTTTCACTTTTTTTTCAATCCAGCATATATATGTATGTGTGTATGTGTATGTGTGTGTGTGTATGTATGTATCTGTGTATGTGTATGTGTTAAAAGATTTATTTACTTCAAACAAATCAAATTTCCACTCATTCACTTTCACAGTGATGCAAAATTGCTTATTTACTAAAAGTAGCATTTGTCTGCTTGTTATGATATTATTTACATCGATGCTACTACTACTACTGCTACTATCGTTGTTGTTGTTTACAAATTGAAGAACGAATGTATTTGTGTTTTATGACATATTGATATTTACCTGTGTAAAACATATATAATATAATTGAGATGAATTATTATTGTCTCAAAACTTTCAGCTTTTTCTTCTTTTTTTTTTTTGTTCAAAGGAATTTAATATATAAGTGGAAGGTTTATATACGTTATTTTTGGAAGCAATCAAATTTAAAAATTAAATAAATAGAATCTCTCAGAATTTCAACTAAGCTAATTTGATAATAGCAGAATAAAAAAAAAAAAAAAAGAAAGAAAAAAAAAACAAGTAAGATTAAAATTAGAAAATCAATGAAGAAAAAAATTTTTTTTCGTTTTTTTATTAAATATTTTTTTTTATATTTTTTATTAAATTTTTATGAATAAATTTGAGGAAAAGATAAACAAGAAAGAGAAAATATATGGTGAGGAAGAAGCATAAAAAAAGTTTGACACTTATAAGTTTGAAATTTACAGTGAAAACTAAAAAGTATAACTGATTCTATTCTCCAGAAATATTCCAGTAATCTCTAACTATTATTAATTCATTTGCATTCTCATTTCATTCATTTCTCTTTAATTCATTTCTGTTTAACTTCAAAAATTAGTTATTGCTCAAAATTTGTGTTAAGAAAGAATACTCTGAATTAAAATTTTTAAAAAAAAAACTCGAACAAAAAGCAAAAAATGTAACTCATTTCATTTTCAAAAATTTTCCAACAATTCGTATTGATATTACTGATCATTTATTCTATCACTTCATTTCTCATCTTTAAATTTTAAGAATTCGTTATTACACAAAATCATTACAATAGTAAAATATGAAACAACGAAAGTAATATCAGTTTAATAAAGTCGAGAAAAAAAACAAAAAAAAAAAAAAAGAGCAAAGAAATTATCTTTTCATAATTTCAATGCTTGAATGAAAATTAATTGCCGATTTATTTTTTCATTCATCCATTTTTATTTATCGTTAAGTAAAAAAAAAAAATTTTTTTTTTTCATTTAAAAAAACTTTTTCTTGAGCAACAATTTTCTGTCATCATCATAACAAATTTTATATGATTTATTTGAGAATGACAATCGATCAACCATTCTTTACTTTTTTCTGCTATGTATAAATAATATTTTGGTTTTCTTCTTTTCATTCTTTCGATCAAAATTACAGTAACATTGATAATTTATTTGCATATATGCATTTAGTAATTTATTGATTATTAACATTTAATAAGTTAGCATAAGTAATATCAAATTAAAAAAAGAGAAAAAATAAAATAGAAATATCAAGATTTAATTTATGGTTGGTACTTTTATTTTCTAAATCTAACAAAATTTTGATTCTTTCCAGAAAAGTCCAAATAACATTGCTAATTTTACAGTAAAATATTAATACAAACATTCATCAAAAAGAGCTAAAATTAATTGTAATTTCAATAAAGCAAAATTTATAACCATTTAACAATATAAAAAATAAAATAAATGTTTGGTTGAATGGATGATTCACTGTATCAATTATTGTTTAATGCAAAAAATTCTTTCTCCTAAAAATAGAAAATGATTTGAAAATAGTTAATTAGAATTGGAAATGATTTAGTATTGAAAAGTTATCACTAAAAACAGAAATAATTCAGCAAAATTTTAATCAAATATCTGATATATGTATGAATGAACAATCAAATAATGCTTCAAAGAAAAATAAGGCGAAATAACGAATGAGAACGAATTTTTTTTTTTTAAAAAAAAGAATTTATAAAATGATTCGCTTAGCAAATTTTTGCTTTAGCATGAATGCTTCAATAAAAAAATTTTGTAAGCATATTGAATGCTATCTTTATTAAAAAGATGAAAAAAAAAATTGCTGCAATATTTACATTTAATGTTTTGTAAATGATTAGTAATAATTTTATTAATCATTTGTAGAGATTATTGTTATATTATCATTCTCAAAATTGTTTCTTCGAGAATTGAAGAAATAATAAACAATGATTATAGGAGAGGTCAAATAAATGATTCAATCATAATTATCCGATTGATGCATCATTTTTAGTTTTTATTTTCTGAAAAATTTTGTTCATTCAGTAAATAAAATATAGTAAGGAACAAATAGATGAGCAGATAACAGCAAAAATTATTTCTTTCTTATTTAAAAAAAGGAAAAGCAAAAAAAAAAAATAATTTTCTTTTTTAAAATATCATTTTTCTTTTTTTTGAAATGTCAAATTTATCAATAAAAACATTATATTGTTACTTATTCATATCTATGCATTAACCATAAAATCATTGTAATGTCATAAATGATTTAAATGATGATTAACATTGCTAAAACAATGAATAAACATACAATTTAAAAAAGAAAAAAAAAAACTAAAAATAAGAAAAAAATTAACAAATTTATTATTATTATTATTATTATTATTATTATTATCATTATTATT